TCCTCTCCACCTATCTTCTCCTCTATCCATCTTCTATCCGCCTCCCCCTCTCTCCCTATTTATTTCAGAACCCCCTTCCCCTCCCCCATTTCTGAAGAAGGGTCTAGGCCCGAAACGTCAGCCTTCCTGCTCCTCTGATGCTGCTTGGCCTGCTGTGTTCATCCAGCTCTACACCTTGTTATCTCTGTTACACAAATGTCTTCCTTTGCGTCAGTTGACCCAGTGGTGAACTTTGGAGTGCTTTGGTGCAGAGGGATCTGGGTGTCCTCATTCATGAATCACAGAAGACTGGTGTACAGGTACAGCAAGTAACAAGGAAGGCAAGTGGGTTTTTTTCTTGCTAAGGGAATAGAGTTTAAAATGAAGGAAGTGTTGCTGCAACTGTACAAGGCATTAGTGAGATCGCACATTGTATATTGTGTACTGTTTTGGTCCCCGTATTCAAGGAGGGATGTAATTGCATTGGAGGCAGTTCAGAGGAGGTTCACAAGATTGATTCCAGAGATGAGGTGCTTGTTTTATGAAGAGAGATTGAGCAGTTTTGGCCTATACTCTCTGGTGTTTAGAAGAATGTGAGGAGATCTAACTAAGGTATTTAAGATGCTGAAGGGGAATGATAAAGTAGACAGAGAGAAGGTGTTTCCTCATGTGGGGCAATCTAGAATGAGAGGTCATGGTTTTAGGATAAGGGGCAGCAGAGATGAGGAGAAATTATTTCTGTCAAAGGGTCATGAAACTGTGGAATTCCCTACTTCAGAGTCCAGTGAATACTGGGACATGAGTAAATTTAAGGACGAGGTAGGCAGATTTTTAATCAGTAATGAGTTGAAGGGTTATGGAGAGCGGGCAGGAAAGTGGAGTTGAGGCTGAGATGAGATCAGCCATGATCGTATTAAATAGCAGAGCAGGTGTGAGGGGCTGAATGACCTACTCCTATTCAAGATCTGATGTTTTTATGTTGACAGAAGTGGGTTTGAGCCCTGCCTCTCTCTCTCCTGCACTTGACCCCTGACTTGATGCTGCTGACAAATGGGGGGTCCATTGTGGAATTTTTTTATACAAGTAAACGCCACATCACAGTATAACTAGAACTCGCCCTCGTATTGCAACATTTCTGAGTGTTATTAGTATCATTGTGGCCATATGTGAAACATGCTGTTTATTCAGCAGGATCATGCTTCAGTTTTGCATCCTCCCATGTCTGCATTACGGCTGCCTCAAGCTTCTTTCAATATGAGATAGCTCAAAGCCATGATAGAACAAAAACTTTCACTTGGTGAATCTAGGCCTTCACCTGGAAGAAGAGCCAATATTGAATTTGGAAAATTGACACCAATATCATAGGAGATGGTTTGTTAAAAATGGAATTCAGACATCTAACAGAGACAGGTGGATGAAGTAAAGGTGAATCAGTCAAGATCTAATTGAATGGTGAAACAGGCTTGAGAAACGGAATGACCTCCTTTTGCTCCCACTCAACCACAATTGACAAAGCCTGGTCTGGCCCTTAATGGGCTTTACTCGTAAATTATCCATTGGAAAACATGGCTGATTTAGTGGTGATAGTTAATAGATGGAAAAATACACCACAGGTGATTTGGGGATAGGGAAAAAGATGTTCACAAGTGTGTTAGACCACATCTGGATATAGAAAAATAAAAAAAAGTGATGTGTGTAATTAAAAGAAGCAAAAATAATGATGAGTACTTTTCTTCCTACCTCTCTCACCTTTCATGTTATTGAATTACCCTTAACAGGCTTTGCATGTACATTGTACAACTGGAAACACAGGTGATTTACTGGTGGAGGTTAATAGTCCAGGCTTGGGCTGACAAATGGCAAGTAATGTTCGTGCCACACAAGTGCCAGGCTATGACCATCACCAATAAGAGACAATATAACCATCACCCCTTGACATTCAATGGTGTTACCATCACTGAATCCCCCACTATCAACATCCTAGGGGTTATCATTGACTAAAAACTCAGCTGAACTCACCATGTAAATACAGAGATGGTAGGAACTGCAGATGCTGGAGAATCTGAGATAACAAGGTGTAGAGCTGGATGAACACAGCAGGCCAAGCAGCATCAGAGGAGCAGGAAGGTTGACGTTTCGGGCCTAGACCCTTCCTCAGAAATTTTCTGAAGAAGGGTCTAGGCCTGACACGTCAGCCTTCCTGCTTCTCTGATGCTGCTTGGCCTGTTGTGTTCATCCAGCTGTACACCTTGTTATCTCACCATGTAAATACAGTGGCCTATACAGCAGGCCAGAAGCTAGGAATATTGTGGCGAGTAACCCACCTCTTGACTACCCAAAGCCTGGCCACTATCTACAAGGCACAAGTCAGGAGTGTGATGGAATACTCCCCACCTGCCTGGATGGGTGCAGCTCCAACAACATTCGAGGAACTTGACACCATCCAGGCCAAAGCAGGCGCTTGATTGGCACCACATCCACAAGTATTCACTCCCTCCACCACCGACGCTCAGTAGCAGCAGTGTGTACTATCTACAAGATGCACTGCAGAAATTCACCAAATATCCTCAGGCAGCGCCTTCCAAACCCATGACCACTTCCATCTAAAAGGATGGAATGCAATAGATGTATGGGAACACTATCCCCTGCAGGTTCCCCTCCAAGCCACTCACCATCCTGATTTGGAAATATATCGCCGTTCCTTCATTGTTGCTGGGTCAAAATCCTGGAATTCCCTCCCTAAGGGCATTGTGGGTCAAACCACAGCACATGGACTGCAGTGGTTCAAGAAGGCAGCTCACCACCACCTTCTCAAGGGGCAACTAGGGATGGGTAATAAGTGCCAGCAACCCACACAGCCCACACATGGACAAAATAAAAAGATGACAATTGCCATGGGTAATTCGGTGATGGGAACGGCCTTTTGGATGTGTGTGATAGCACTTCCAATGTTAAAAAAAAAGAAAATGTCTGGGTCTGGGTCTGTTCCATTTTGGCCTTGCTATTTGTAATTCTGCCAAGAAATGAAACGTAAGTTCTATTCAACAGAACGGATATTTCTGCAGTGCTAGGACCACTGCTAGTTTCGCTTCATAAAAATTCCTTGTTTCTTGGAATATGGAGTAAACTTTGCTAATGAAACCAACCTTGGAGAAGATGTAAATAGTGAGAATGATACAAATTGCCTTCAGCAGGGCATTGATAGTGAAGATGCACTGTAGAAATCCATCAAAGATATTTAGAAAGCACCTTCTAAACCCATGACCACTTCCATCTAGAAAGACAAGGGTAGCAGATACATGGGAACACCACCCCCAGCAAGTTCCTGACTTGGAAGCATGTCACTGGGATTCCCTCGCTAATGGCATTGTGGGTCTACCTATACGTAGTGGACTGCAATGGTTCAAGAAGGAGGCTCATCAGCACCTTCTTAAGGGACATCTAGGGAACGCAATAAATGCTGGGCCAGCCAACGATGCCCACATCCAATGCGTGAACAAAAAAAAATTTTTGATATGGACTTTGAGTTCCAGGAAAAGCTTGCCCAGGATCACTGCAGATCCAAATAGAGAAAAAAACATAATGAATAGAGACAAAAGGAGGCAACATCCTAGTGGTATAATCAGTGGAATGTTAACCCAGAGGCCCAGGTAATGTTATGGGGACTTGCGTTCAAATCCTGCCATGGCAAATGGTGGAATTTCCATTCAATAAAAATCTGGAATTAAGAGTCTAATGATGATCTTGAGTTAATTGTCAAAAACGCATCTGGTTCACTAATGTCCTTTAGGAAAGGAAACTGCCATCCTTACCTGGTCTGACCTACATGTGACTCCAGACCCACAGCAATGTGGCTGGCTTTTAATTGCCCTCAGGGCAATTAGGGATGGGCAATGAATGCTGGCCCCGCCAGTGATGCCCCCATCCTGTGAATGAAAAAAAAAAATCCCAAGGTTGCAGACTGTTCAAATCTCAGTCTCTGGTGAATCCTGCTGTAATTCCAACAGGGCTTTACAAACTGGTTAAAAACCCCATTGGAATCTTATGAAACAGCCCATGATGAACAAGCTCTGCAGTTCCTACTATCCATGATGAACAAGGTTATCTCAAATGGGACAACCTGAGCAAAGATGTGCAAGTTAGGTGGATTACCTGTGGGAAATGCTGTTTACAGGGTCAGGGTAATGGGGTCGAATGGTCTTCAGAGGATCAGTGTGGACCAGGTGGGCCAAATGGCCTGCTTTCCCACTGTAGGATTCTATGATTCTATGAACTTGCAAATTGGCAAAAATTGTTTGCGGTTGAAAAACCTTGCGATAACATGAGGAAATGAAATGACACAGTGTCGTTTTGACCTTGAAAACACGATTTGAAAGGTTGGCAGAGAAAGATTCAGCAGTAACTTTCAAAAAGGCATTAGAGATATACTTGGAGGGCAGGAAAGTCCACAAAATTGTAGAGGAAGAACAGAGGCGTGGATACAAACGGATAGCTGTTTCAAACAGCTGAAACAGACATGACGAGCTGGACCACCCTATAATTTTATGAACCCACTGTTCCCTTTTACACATTCTGACTGACCTGTTGTGTTTTCCACAATTTGATTTATTTTTGTTGAAACTTTCAATTTCAGGAAAGGACTCGGGAAAGATAGCTTAGATGGAAAAATAAATGAAAATATTTTTAAAAAGCACAGGCAGCAAGGAGGTGAAGAGTGTAAGGAATAAGTAGTGTTTAAATAACGGTCTACAATTATTTCAGTTGCATATATCAAAAGCTGAGATTTTAAGTTATGAAAATAAGGCTACTCTTAATGATGATGATTAGTAGTAATTTTGAACAGTTTGGAACTATACTTTATGAAGTTTAAAAGAGCGAGAGGAAATCTAATTGAGGTCTTTTAGATGCTAAAGGGGATCGACAAAGTAGATGTAGAAAGGATGTTTCCTCATGTTGGCATTTTAGATCGATTGGTCATAGCCAGGAATTTGAGCAACTGTAAGGAGGAGATAGGTTTTTTAAAATTAGTAATTGATTGAAGGGTTATGGAGAGCAGGCAGGAAAGTGCAGCTGAGGCTGAGATAAGATCAGCCATGATTGTATTAAATGGTAGAGCAGGCCTGAGGGGCTGAATAGCCTACTCCCGCTCCTAGTTCTTATGTTATCAGGTTCAACTTTTGCATAAGGAACTGAGAATCTCCTAGAACCTGGTTAGCCAAGAGTGGGACAGAGGTTTCCCTGGAAGTGAAATATAAATTGGTTAACTTGCAGATATGTAGCTTGCGAAGAACACTTAATGATGAGCTGTGCCAGTAATGAATATGCCCAGTAGCGGATGTGTCATCCATTGTCTTGAGGCTCAGTAAGCATTGAGTGGCGAATTGTAATACAGGTTATATATCGTACATACATACATGTTAAACGGAGAGGATTGAAACAGCAATGCCAGTACTTACATCTTGACTTATCCCAGATGAAACTGTTTAACATCTCACCCACCACGTATAGTACGTTGACAGCAACGAACGATGCAACAAAGACAATAACCTTCAGAATGTTGGAGAGGTGGTCGAGAAACGGATAGACCCACATTCCTGTGACGTGGTGGATCCAGCAAATCCTGGGAAGGGAAGATCAGGGAAATGCAAACAGTGAAACCTTCCTGCATCCAATGATAAGCAATGGGAAACAACCCTTACATCTTCCTCTTACAAAACAAGGTTTTGCCTTTACCATGGAAGGTCATCTCCTGCTGAAGGCTGGCAGCAGAACTCCTCCAGTCCAGGTGGAGGAGCCATTGCAGATTCACCCTGTCCCAGGCTCTGATTAGAATACAATCAGGGTCTGGTCATTGCAAGTTCAATTGCAACATGCAGAAGCTGAAGGATAGGCTTTCTTGGAAGCTCGTTTCAAAATAGAAATGAGGAAAAGTGGCATCTTTCAGAGAAGGTACCTGAATGTTTCTGCAGGGCTATGGGGACACAGCACGGAACTAATCAGAAAGAGCTAAAATAGGAAGGATGGGTCGAATGGCCACATTTTAACTGCGCTGTTCAATGATTCGATGGTAATATGGGGAGGGAAATGAGCTAAGACACCAGTGCTACATCTAGGATGGTGCAAAACGGGGAGGTGATGGCTCAGTGGTATTATCACTGGACTTTTAATCCAGTGACCCAGGTAATGATCTGAGGACCAGGGTCTCAATCCTTCTGTGGTAGATGGTGGAATCTAAATTCGACAAAAATCCAGAATTGAGAATCTAATGATGACCGTGAACCCATTGTCGATTGTCTGAAAAACCCATCTGGTTCACTAATGTCCTTTAGGGAAGGAAACTGCCATCCTCACTTGGTCTGGCCTACATGTGACTCCAGACCCACGGTTATCTCTGAACTGCCCTCTGGGCAATTAGGGAATGGGCAATAAATGCTGGATGAGCCAGAAACACCCTCATCCCTTGTATGAGTAAAAGAAAAAATCCAGCATTTTCCAAAAGCATCCTAGCTATGAGAGGCCAACTGAGCCCAAATATTAGCCATGCAGCAGGGGCAGAACTTATCAAGAGGGCATGCAATTTGCTGTGGGAACAGAGCTGAAGACTGCCTGTATTAGTGCAAGATGTAACCAGAGTACACCTCTCCAGCACAACTCCTACCAGCTCTGAGAACCAGTTCAATGTTAATTTCAAATCAAGGGAGCAAACAAGACAGTAAAATACATAACTGTCGTCTTCCTCCACAAACGAGCATTAAGCTGTGAAAAGCAGCAGCTAACTAGAGATGAAACACTGGAGAATAAAAGAGAGGAGCCAGAGACAAAGAAGAAGGGATGATAAAGTGGAGAAACAAAAGTACACAATATTTTATGTCACTTATTACTTAAGATTTCAACTTGGTTCTGTTGGAATCTGCACTGGCCATGGTTCAGAGGGTTAGGGCTGTTGCCTCTGTGCATTCAAGGTCACCTGAGATACTTGAATAAAAAAGTGAGGCTTAGACTCCAGGGTGTTCCTGAGGCTGTGCTGCATTGTCAGAGGTGCGAGAAGGAATGGAGAGGGTAGATAGAGAGAAACACTGCCCTGCTGCTGAGAAGCGATGGGGGCAAATGTTGGGGCGAAGCCAGGTCATGGAGATATAACTTTACACTTAAAGCCAGGCCATTCAGAAGAGAAGTTAAGTAGGGATTTTTCATGAAGAAGGTGTAGGGTGTTTGGAATTCTGCAATGGGTGCAGGGGTCCGTTAGTCACTTCAAATTTGTGATTGATACAATTATGTTGGCACAGTGATTTGGAGACTAAAAGCTAGGCATAAGGAGATACAGGTCAGCCACAATCTCACTGTATGGGAAATGCATTTGAAGGGCTGAATGGCCTACTCCAGTTCTTTGTTCCTAAGCTAGGCTATCTGCTGAATGCCCACACTCTGTCTCATGGCACACTGGCCTCCTGTGGAGATTATACATATCTCTGTTCAGATCCTATCGTCAAACTAGCAGCTGATGCTTTCATGGTAAATATCCTTTCTCACAGAATGGTTTGCCACCTTTGCTTTCCTTTTTTGAGGACAAGAAGGACTTTGTTGTTATCATTGTCAGCACTTAACGCAATTAACTTCAGCAGGTGATGATGAAAACCAGCCACTCTGTACTACCCGACAGGAAAAGACTGCAGCGGCTCGCAGTGCGGGGGAAGGAACATCGGAGAAAGCTTACAGTCCCAGGATGTCCCAAAGCACTTCACAACCAAGTGAAGAAGCATGTGTGAAGTACAGGGACAACAACCAATTGCACACAGTAAGCTCCCACATGCATCATGAGCTAATGACCCTTAAATTTTTCCGATGATGTTGTTTAAGAATAAGTATTGGCTAGGATAACCTTCTGCTCTTCTTCGAAATATTACAATGGGATCTTACTGTCCACTTGAGAAAGCAAACAAGGCTTGGGTTTAACAATTCACCTCTGACAGTGCAGCACTCTCTCTGTACCCCAGTGAAGTGGCAGCGTAGGTCTATCTTCCTAAACATCTGATGTTTCTGGATTATGACTTGAGACCATGTTCTTCTGATCTACTACGTATAAACATATGAATTAGGAGCAGGAGTAGGAGTAGGCCACTCAGCCCCTCAACAACAAGATGTCTGATCTGATTACCTCACATTCCTGCTTAGGCCCAGTAACCTTTGACCCTCTTGCTTATCAACAACCTCAGAATTAGAAATATTCAGATTCTGCTTCCCTCACCTTTCGAGGAAAAGTGTTCCAAAGATTCACAACCCTCTGCAAGAAAAACCTTCTCCTCTCTATCTTGAACAGGTTAGATTTCTGGAACCTTCAGCCTCCTGTGTCAGTCACCAACAGAGTCTTTCCCAGGGATATTTGTGAGAAATTTCAGAGGAACTGCAGAGTGGGGAATACGAGAGTAGATACAGGGAGTCATAGAATCCCTACCATTGGGAAGGAGGCCATTTGTTCCATCAAGCTCACACTGACCCCCCAAAGAGTGTCCTACCCAGTCCCACCACCCCTACCCTATAACCCTGCATCTCCCATGGCTAACCCACACATCCCAAAACACTATGGGCAATTTAGCATGGCCAATCCACCTAACCTGCACATCTTTGGACTGTGGGAAGAAGCTAGAGAAAACCCGGGGCGGGGGAGGGGAATGAATGTGAAAACTCCACACAGACAGTCACCCAAAGGTGGAATTGAACCAGGGTCCCTGGTGCTGTGAGGCAGCAGCGCTAACCACTGAGCCACAGTGCTGCCCTGTGTCTGTGAGCAGTGTGCAACAATCAGATCAGGAACTCAAAGTACACCATGCCCTTACATAAGCACATACACAGAGGCTGAAATTGAATCAGAGATAGTAGGAACTGCAGATGCTGGAGAATCCAAGACAACAAGGTGCAGAGCTGCATGAACACAGCAGGCCAATCCACCCCTCTCACTCACTCCAACCTCTCCCCCGCAGAACGTGCAGCCCTCCGTTCCAATCCCAACCTCACCATTAAACCCGCGGACAAGGGAGGCGCGGATGTAGTATGGCGCACTGACCTCTACATCGCTGAGGCCAGATGCCAATGCTCCGACACCTCCTCCTACCGCCCCCTTGATCATGACCACCCCGAGCATCAAACCATCATCTCCCAAACCATCCACAACCTCATCACCTCAGGTGACCTCCCACCCACGGCCTCCAATCTCATCGTTCCCCAACCCCGCACCGCCCGCTTCTATCTCCTTCCCAAAATCCACAAACCTGAATGCCCTGGTCGACCCATTGTCTCTGCCTGCTCCTGCCCCACCGAACTTATCTCCAACTATCTGGACTCCATTTTCTCTCCTTGGTCCAGGAACTCCCTACCTGCGTCCGTGACACTACCCACGCCCTCCACCTCCTCCAGAACTTCCAACTCCCCAGTCCCCAACACCTCATCTTTACCATGGACGTCCAGTCCCTATACACCTGCATTCCCCATACAGATGGCCTAAAAGCCCTCCGCTTCTTCCTGTCCCGCAGGCCCGACCAGTCCCCCTCCATTGACACCCTCATCCGCTTAGCTGAACTCGTCCTCACCCTCAACAACTTCTCTTTCAATTCCTCCCACTTCCTACAGACAAAGGGGGTGGCCATGGGTACCCGCATGGGCCCAAGCTATGCCTGCTACTTTCTTGGTTACGTGGAACAATCCCTCTTCAGTACCTACACTGGCCCTAAACCCCACCTCTTCCTCCGTTACATTGATGACTGTATCGGCGCCACCTCATGCTCCCACGAGGAGCTCGAACAGTTCGTCCACTTCACCAACACCTTCCACCCCAACCTTAAGTTCACCTGGATCATCTCTAATACCTCTCTCCCCTTCCTGGACCTCTCTGTCTCCATCTCGGGCAACCACCTAGAAACCGATATCCATTTCAAGCCCACTGACTCCCACAGCTACCTAGAATACACCTCCTCCCACCCACCTTCCTGCAAGAATGCTATCCCCTATTCCCAATTCCTTCACCTCCGCCGCATCTGCTCCCAGGATGAGGCATTCCACTCCCGTACATTTCAGATGTCCTCGTTTTTCAAGGACCGCAACTTCCCCCCCTCAGTGGTCGAGGACACCCTCAACCGTGTCTCCCACATCTCCCGCAACTCATCCCTCACACCCCGTCCATGCAATAAGAACCAAAAAAGAATCCCCCTCATCCTCACGTACCACCCCACCAACCTCCGGATCCAACGCATCATCCTCCGACACTTCCGCCATCTGCAATCCGACCCCACCACCAAAGACATCTTTCCCTCCCCACCCTTATCTGCTTTCCGGAGGGACAACTCTCTCCGTGACTCCCTTGTCCGCTCCACACTCCCCTCCAGCTCCACCACACCCGGCACTTTTCCCTGCAACCGCAGGAAGTGCTACACCTGCCCCCATACCTCCTCCCTCACCCCCATCCCAGGCCCCAAGAAGACTTTCCACATCAAGCAGATGTTCACCTGCACATCTGCCAATGTGGTATATTGCATCCGCTGTACCCATTGTGGCCTCCTCTACATCGGGGAAACCAAGCGGAGGCTCGGGGGCCGCTTTGCAGAACACCTACGCTCGGTTTGCAATAAA